ATTTTCGATTGTATCCACGAAATGGATGTATTCAATCTCGGGTTCAGTAGATTTCTTCTTTTTACTGCAATTCTTTATTGCTTTCTTGTTAATGCATTTCTCTATCAAAAGTACACTTTCAGGATCAAAGACTAGGGAGGCTAAAGGTTGACTGAGCTGGTTAGAAGTCGATCCAAGTGGGGAGTCATATGGGCTCGAACCAACAGAAGATCCACTAAAGGGTCGGTCACCAAGACTGAATGAAGACCTACAGAGTGGGACAGCAACCCTGTCGTTACTAAAGGATGGGTGGTCTCGACCCCAGTAATGTCCACGGTTTGTCCCAACGAAAGAGGTAGGGTGATGCTCTAGACGACAGTCACTAGTAGGGGGTCGGTATTACAAATTAAGTTCTCGCCTCATGTCTTTCCAAGTAGGGTACTCACCGCGAGACTCTTTATGATCTTCCAATCTTGCCCAAAATTGAAGAGCTCGACCTTTTAGGTGAGATTTAGCGATGCTTACTTGGTGGGATTCAGGGATATGACATGATTTAAAATAGTCATCTTGTTGTCTAGCCCATTCCCTAAAGTAGTAAGGATCCGAGGAACCATCAAAGGTGGGTAGACGGTAAGGTGACTCAAAATGAGGTCGTTGTGGCTTAAACTCGGGTCTAGGTTGAAAAGTAGAGTGGGACATAATTCGAGTGGGAATAGTCAACAGGTTTCTCCGTCATAATTCTAGTCATATTGCCCACTAGGTTAACGATGTCATCTAAACTCTTTTGGAGTCTTATCGGGTCCATTGAAAAGTGCTAAGATGCTTAAGGAAGAATGAGCGTAAGGGACATCATTTAGACACTAAGTTAAGCTCACTTAGACTCACTACAGGGTGCAGAAAAAGTTTGGACAGCAAGCTAAGCTAGTGGGTTAAGTAGCCTAGGCACTTGGGGAGGTTGTTAGGTTGAGGACAGCACCCAAACGCTTAAGAAACTAGCCTATATTTCACTAGATGTGTGCAGGAAAGATGTGGACAGCAAACTACAACAAGGCATAAAGTTATCTAAGTGTTTAGGCAGGATTTTAGGATGTGGACAGCACCTAAACACTAGGTTAGGTTCACTTTCCTGGACAGCACACTACAAGGCTTGAATAAATGCGTTAAGTGTTGGGTTAGGTGTCTAGAGTGGGGACAGCACTTAGGTACATGAAATGCTAACCCAAAACTCACTAAATGTGTGCAGGAATTGTAAAGACAGCAATGTAAACAGTGAATAAAATTTAGATATGTGATGATATGCATGCAAAAATTAAATTATAACGCAAGGTTAGACCCTAGGATGTTTTTCTAACATGTCATGCATGCCTACCATGCTCTGATACCAAGATGATGTGGAACAAAATCCATGCGAAAGTGATTTGCTTAAAGAAGTTTGCACGCTTAGATTTAGAGGTAATAATAAACAAGATCTTATGCGGAATTGAACGATAAGATAAATATGAAGTGGTACTTAGCTTAGGTTAATTCTCATGCATAGAAATTAAGTTCAAAAGATAGCCATGGGGGAATCGGCGGGTCTGAGAGGGGAGGTGGCTGGATTTTGCTGTTGGGGAAAGGGTGACCGGTCAAGATAAAGGGAAGGGGGCGGGTTTGAGGGAATGGTGGTGGGGAGGAAGGAAACAGTAAACAAAAATAAAACCAAGAGCTCGCCGGAGCGGGCTGTTGGGTATTTCGGGTGGAGCCTCTCCTAGGTCTCCCCTCTTTCTCTCAAGCTCTCAAGCAAGAAGACAAAAGAAAATCTCAGAAATTTTATTCATCAAAACATTAACCTCATACATCAAGAAGAGACCCTTTTATAAGAGGTCTCAAACATGAAAAGAAAAACAAAAGACTCATATGCCCCTTGGGCTACAATAGACACTACGCCTACATAAGGGCGAAATCGTCACTAGTACATGAAATAAAAGATACACAAAATAAAACAACATGATAACATCAAAAATATAAACTATCGATCGTAGCCATCGATCTACGATTCCGTCGCCGATAAACCTGCCTAAAATGTTTGTCGATGACCTCATCAGTTAGGGAAAGAGTTTCACCCAATGAATGAAGTCATACAACGTTCCGGTGGTGCTTTGATGGTTGGATCGGAAGTAGGTGGTGCTTGACAGCTTCTTGGGTGACTTGGACAGCCACAATCCATGATCAAATTCTTGGGCAGCAAGTCTTCAACATGGGAGAACGATTCCCAGCTGTCTGGCCTTTGATGGTTGTTCCCGGATTGGTTGGGACGGTGATGGGCTGCTGTAGGAAGCTCCAAACAGCCAGCTGGTGGGCTAGGACAGCAGTCTGTTAAGACCCAGAAAACCTGGACAGCGAGCGGGGTCGTTCCAGTAACCCAGGCATCAAATCTCCTTATTGAAAATTGCAATACAGCAGGTTGCCCTTTAGGTTGCCTCCAAAACTGCTGTTTGAATAGTGGAACCTGCTGTCCTGCACCGTTGGAATTCTGAAATTGCTGTTGAAAGGATTCCAGCAGCCTATATCAACTACCCAGGGTCTACACAAGAGTTAGGGTTGCTGTCCAGAATTTTCCAAGTGTCAAAAGCTGCTGTTTAGACCTCACATCTTTTGCTCTTCAAGACCCAGACGATTCAAGCCTCCTACCCGTTCTACATCACATGGTTAACATGTTCATAAAATAAAGTCAAGTTAGATATATTTAAGGCTAGACAAGTACCATAATTTGTTGAAAATTTTAATTTATAAGCATTCAAACCTAAGCATTGCACGATTTTATATGTTCCATCCATTAGTTAATTTCTTAAGTCCCTTATTGGAAGCATTTAAGGATTCAAAAATATTGACACCTTATATTATCTCATGTTCTCATCAGCAATTGGCTTACAACTCTCATAATTAATAATCAATTTCTTGCAAATAGTTTTATACAAATCAAACAAATCATGAAAATTAGGAAAATGATTAATATGATATGAAGTAATGAAAACACTAAAATACTTAAAGATTGTGAATGTCGAATCAAACATAGAATCGTAAGGAGTGATTCAAGGTTTAATGGTTCTACTGTATTGAACCAGATGATGTAATAAATATTAATTTATTTAAGTATAATATAAATGGCATAATAATGATGCAATAATGCAAATATATGACTAAAAATGAATATAACTCGTATTCAAATAATATCTTTAATAAATAAATTCAAACGCCTTCAATCAATTTAGTTTGTATTTATTATAAAATTATTTCACATATAATCTTACAAAATTTAATATAAATCATTACTAATTTATGTTATATCTTTAAATATAATTTATATTGAAATATCATACACTAAATTCATTTCTCACATAAAATTTCTCACATAATTATTAGATGATGACTTTCTTTAAAAATTCACTTGCACGATACTTGAAGGACTTGACACATATAAGGTTGAAGGAATTGAAAATTTTATTTAGCAAAAATTGTATTATATTCGTTCTTTACCATAATTATAATCCTAAATTTTCTGAAGTTGAAATTTTCAAAACCCTTAAGTCTCTAAAATGTCGAAGTGCTTCAACACCCGTCCTCAAGGAAGTTGCCGTGAAAAAACACAGAAATCCTATAAAAAGCCCACCTTGCCAAATAACAAGCAACAGCTAAGAATCAGAAGCAGAATTCTTGTTTGAGATTGACTACACCTGTCGCCATTTGCTAAAAGTGCCCAATAATATTTCCAAAGCTTTTAATAACAAAGCGTCTGTAGTGTACTGAACTAAGAGCCCATAACAGGACCCAATGGAGATTACTGGACCAATTAGAGAGATTAGTTGGTCTAACTCGAGAATCGAAGTAGTAAAGTAATCAACGCACATCATTGTTTAGGCAATGTCATCATGTATACTTTAAAATAATTTGAAATTGAAAAAAATGCACAATAAAAAAATAAAAAAATTGTCCTGAAATCATCAAACTGCTAATTTGCTTATCTTAGCACACCAGGTTTGCTCTTTCAATGAGCATAGTCCTTCAGAGGTTCATCAGAATGTTAGTGAAGTCATTTTTTTTTTATGTATGTGTGGCTTTCTGTCATTCTGTGTTCATTTTAAACCAAAAACCAACATGAAGGCTCTGATGGAATATGTAGAATACAATGAAATGCTAAAATTTAAAATTTTCATTTATTTTAAACTAATTATGGTTGCTAATCCAGATGGTACACCGTTAAGTAAATTTGTATTTGCAGCTTGTGGTTGCGGTTGCCTGATCTAAACCTGAAATCCTAATGCTTAGTTTCATTTTTTGATTATTTACCACCTTCTAGACTCATTTGATCCAAGTACGTGAGAGCTTTTATTATCTTGTTAGTCATATTTATCTAATCAAAAGTTTAAAAGCCACAGGTAATAAATCCCAATGTAGCAGAGACGCTTATTGGCACATCATTCGTCAGTTGATGCATCCCTTGTTTGTTTTATCCAACTTTATATGAGTTCCTTTTCTCTTAAATTTTCGCTGGTCAACTGGATCACGCTGCTCTTTATAAGATAATCCACAGATTAAAATGTAAAAAAATCCTAGCTTTTTAGTTTTTCCAGTATGTTACTATTTAACACATGCTTTTTCTTCCCTTTCATCAGTTTTCTTCGAATGAATAGACTTTTTCCCAACTTTTAATTAACAGAAAGAGGCCTGTCAGCAGAAACAATATAACTTGATAAAATATTTTGACAGCCATATACTGGACCTGACTACCATATTACCTTTGTGAGCTCTATTAGCATACCCCTACTCCAATTATAGATTATTAGCCTGAGAAGCCTTAAGATTGTTCAATTTGTTTCTCGCACATCATATTTTTTATTGCTACCGTGATCTGTCAGATTGTTGTTGGCCTTTATGCTCTCTTAACATTTTTAAACAAAAATCATGTTTGTTTCATCAAATTCTTTTTAACTGTCATATTGCTGCTTGATATAGTTAATTAATATCTATATGCTTAATTGCAGTGTCAATCTCTAATTGAAGAACTACAAGCATCGCATTCAACTGACCTGCAACAGCGTGCATATGAGCTAAAAGCTTTATTGGGTTTGGATAGTCATGCTGTTCAACATGTCATGCCATTGGATGCAAGCTGCGAAGATATTGAGGTTTCTATTAAACAGTCTCTTTGTTTATACTTGAGACAAATTCTTTTAAATTGGAATTTTTACCTTAGCATGCAGAGTAATATTCACATTCTCTTTATCTTAGTTATTACATGGCCTGCATGCAATTTATGCAATTCGTTTAGTATAATCACAACTCCCGCACTTGCACAGCTAATGTGGAGGTTCCTGTGCTATCGGCAGGAAGGTTGTCCTTCTTGGCCGCTCAACTTTGAGCATATGTAGGCTCTATAATGAACAGGGAAATTATCTTTTTCTTTAACATCACCATAATTAATGGTGTGCAACTGATGATTTCTAAAACCTTATATTTGAGTAATTTTGAAGCATCAAAGCTGTTGGCCTCATTAGAATGCCGTGATAATTCATATTTTTATTTATTTTGAGTAACTGGTGGCATAAAAATAGCAAATGTTGTATTATAGTATTTGAACCATTCAATAGTGAAACTGTGGGGTTGCTTGATTAATGGCAATGGAGTTGTATGATGCAATTGATTTTTGTCCAATCCACTTGCAGTGTTTGGGATGAAAGCTCAATTGTCTTGATTTGGAAATTAGTAGTTTAAAAGATAAAATTATTTTAAAATAGAAAATGGTCAAGGAAAATTGGCCTTCCTCATCAATAAGGTTCTCTCTCTCTCTCTCTCTAACTTCCAAACACTTCAATAGCAATTAGTAATTATTTATTCTGAAACGTATGTTAAAATTAAGGTCATCTGTCTCATAACTAACACACTACAAAGAAACACTCTCATTCAATTCTTACCATCCTAATTGACTATACTCACATGGATCAAAACAGAAGCTAACTTAGTGAGAGTGCTAATAATAGAACAATTCAACACAAGCACATCTTAAAGACCGCACTGCATTAAACCCATTGCCAACGCAAAGATTCCACGTCAGGAACACTCCAAGCAAATTGTATTGACCAACATAGTTTCTAAGGAAAGGAAAGGTCATTTTCCATTAAAAGAAACCTTGCAGAATACCAAATTAAGATTTACTAGATACGTATGTTAGCATGGAATTTAATATCAATTAAATTTAAGAGCACATAAGAGTGGATTTTACTACTAGTGAATGGATTTCAAGACTGATGAGAGATAAAGAAAATGCGGCCCAAGGAGGAAACTAGATAAAGGTGTAAGGTTTAGGTTTACTTGAAGTTAAAGTGTGCAAGCACTGTCTAGGAGCAGTAGACAGTGCTTGTTGCACTGAAAGTAACTCACAGGATGATGGTGTTAGAATGCATGAAGGAGGTTTTAGCAGAGATGGCCTTGGATGATCAGCAGTTGTAGTAAAAAGAGAGTTGATTTTGAGTGTTTAGGTTTTCTAGGAACTTAGAAAAGAGGATAGGAAACAGCTAGTTCAGTTAGCACTTATCTCTTCTCTCTCGCCAGGTTGGGCTAGCTTAATGTGATTGATCAAGAAAGAAGTTCTGCTCCAGGTTTTATAGAAAGAGAAGAAAAACCTAGTTTCAAGTTAAATGCTTTGTTTGGAAGAAAAAAAAAATTTTGAAGCTCAAGCTAAATTGAGAGAGTGAACTTTCATTGGTCTTCTGTGTGTTCCAGCAAGATTTATGAGGGTGAAGACTGCAAACAAGGATAGGTAACAGATTTTGACTATACATCAAAGATTTTATATTCTTTTCAAAACTGGGATCACTAATTATTTTGATTTGGTACTGCTTGTCTACAAGGAGTTCTTTTTCTCTTCTGTATGCTTTTAGAATTGGCATCTTTATTTCTTGGTTTCAACTTGCATGTTTGCTATCCTCTTATACAGGTTGATAAAAATTTGTCATTTCTCAACAAGTTTGTGCAACAAGCCATTGAGAAAGGCTCACAGCCCTACATTCCTGAAAGCGAAAGGTCCGGGTTCTCGGAAGTTGGCAATTTTAAAACCCTAAACGAGCATGAAAATGCTGGGCATGGTCTTAGGTTTGAGGCATATGAGCTTCCCAAGCCAGTACCCCCAGTAAATATATCTCCAGCCCCACATGCACCTCAAATCACTCATACAATTCCAGTTTCTGAGCCTTCACATCCTCGAGAAATTAACCAAAATCCCAATCCTTCATCCAGTGCTGATACATCTTCAGCAAACTCTGAAATTAAACTCCAACTGGGTGGCGTGCCAATGAAGTGGGGCAAGCCTGCATATTCGTCTTCTTCATCTTCTAGCTCTGGCACCATTAGTAATACAGCAAATGGGGTCGCACATCGTGATGCCGCCGCCATTACTGCGGCCTCGCAAACACGAGATTTCACATACAACCACAGGAGGCAGCAAGTTGAAGTATCAGCTGAGAAACAGAGATTAGCTGCTTCTCTGTTTGGTAAATCATCAAAATCTGAAAAGAAAGTTCCATCTACCAACAAGGCATCCAAAGCTAGTTTTCCAAATACTGAGAAGCTAGCTGCAAAACCTTTACCTGCAGCAGAAGCTCCAAAGGAGAAGCTCTCCAATTCTTCGCCGCAGCCGCCACCGCCTCCCGATTTGCTCGATTTCAGTGAATCTTCTCCTTCAATCCCCGCACCTGAAGATCCATTCAAGCAGTTGGAAGAACTTGTTGGACCTTCAGCGGCTGTTGTTCCAGAGGCCCATGACATCATGGGATTATATGGTCTGAACTTCAGCCCTGTAACTCCAGCTAATAGGAACTCCGAAGAAGCTAATATTGTGGTGGCAAACAAGAAGGGGCCAAATCTCCGAGATGCTTTGGAGAAGGATTCGGTTGCAAGGCAGGTTGGCGTGACACCCACAGGTAATAATCCCAACCTATTCAGAGACCTGCTTGGCTGAAAGAATTATCCCAAAATCCTCAGGAGTTCCACACGAGCTTGTAATTAGATTAGAATCCCATGCTTAGGAAGTTCATGTTATTTAAATTTTGGCGGATTGAAGAAATGTGTAGAATTAAATTTTTTTATTGAGTGGAAGAACTTAGAAAGCTGGTGCAAAGGAATTAGGAGTAATTATGCAGCCATGGTTGATTACAGTTGCATATTAAGGCTTCGTTTGGGACGGCTTTCTTACTGCTTAAAGCAGCTTTCTAGCATCAAAATTTAAATTTTTTACAAGAAAGTTGCTTTAAGAAGCAGTAAAAAAGTCGTCCCAAACAAAACTTAAGTGTAATAGTTCAACAAGTTTTCATATTCATTGTATGGAAGCTGGGGGAAAGGATAAGGAAGTTGTTTGTGGAAAAAGCTAAAGCCCTAAAGTGATTACTGCAACTTTCTGCAATAAAGTCCTGTATTTACTATGAATGTATCTCCTTCATTTACATTTCTGTTTTATGTTTGTATTACCACTATGAATATAAATTTACTCAATTCGTTTCTTATCTCTTATGTTTTGCACACTGATTGTTTTCTTCTCCCTTTTTGTCTATGATTTTGTTGTTGATTACATCTAAGAATTTTTTATCATGATTAATTGAATGAATTAATTTCTTCAGTGATTTTATATTTTAAATAATATAAAAAGTAATGATTTTAATTAAAGCATTTTTTAATAATTATTCTATATTTTATCTAATGAAAAATGAATTATGAAATTCAATTATTTCAGAAATTATAAAGATTAATACTAAAATACTAAGTAACATTGATTAAATCATTATTAATAAGGTAGGATTAAGCCTTAAAGATTGGGATTTTCTAACCCTAAACTATGTTTAAGAGTGTTAATTACCTTGGTAGTTATTTGCTTAGTGGATGGCAAGGACAATACAACAAAGCCCTTAAAAATTACACTTGCTTATGTAGGGTAGTACAAAATATATATTACATTGCATAAATTATTTTATATCATACTTCAAAATCAAACATTAGTTTCCTTGTAAAATAACTTTTATATTTTATAGGAACTTATTTGTTAATAACTTTAATTGAGAGTGTTAGTAGATTTATATGCCTAGAATGTAATTAATGATTTGAGCTAGCTCCTATGAGAGAAATTGAATTCCAAAGTAATACTAACCTTATCTAGTTCTTTTTTTTTTTTGAGATATCAAAGGGAAATCTTAAGTATACTAAATCATGTATATTCCATTAATCTTATGAGTATGTAGAATATATTGATTGTTGGTGATGAATCTTATATTGCAATCCATTAGATCTTTTTAAAAAAACTTCATACAATGATAAGAAATTGAATTACATGTTCCCCTAAAGGAAAGTGAGATTAATGAATAAGAAGATGTGCTAAAGATCAATCAGTGGAGAGCATTAGGTGACTATTAATGGGAACTTCAAATATCGAGAACAATGAGTAATCGGCTTTATCATTCTCTTGATAGGAGAGTAAATTAGGCAACTTGAAAGAGGCACATTGGATGTTGATTGTTCGAATATGTTGAATGGCAATCATTGATATTTGTTTGATGATGATTAATGTGGGATGTAAAAATTTAAGAGATGGTGCGTGATTGAGTTGGTTAGAGATGGTGTGTGATTGACTTGGTTACTTTTGTAATATAAAGGGGAGGGTAGGCAATAAGCATCAAATGATATCTGTTGATGAATATTTGTGGTTGATAGAGGTCGAATGTCAATTATTACCTGTGTCAGATAATGAGTAACTGTTAGCAATCAACTTGATCTCATGTGACATTTTATTGTTGAATTCAACTTGTTGAGATTTAAAACCGCTAATCTAAATACCCATGTGATTTAAGATATGAAATTTAAGTCAAAATATGTGCTAGAAAAAATGGTTTTTTTGGGTGGCTCATCAACCATAATGAAGTGAACTCCTTGTTTAATCCTGCTTAACTAGATTTCGTTTGGGAGAATTTTCTTTCTGCTTTTTATTTAAAGCAGCTTTTTATTATTAAAAATTGTACTAAAAAGTTGCTTGTTCAATTTTTAGTAAATGAAAATAGCGATGGCACGAAAGAAATTTTAATGAGCCATAGTGAAATTGGTCAATAATAATTGACAAAATATATTTCTAATGTAAGCCCACTTGAACTGATCAATAATATTTAAGAAACATAAAATAAAACAAAAAGCTATAGCTGCAAATATACAAAAAATAATAATACAAAAGATGAAGATTAAAGGAGAAATTTACTTTCCAAATAGATAATTTAAAAAGAGCAAGCGTCTATGTGAAGCCAACAAATGGAAGAAAAACTATTATGGAATTAATGTACCATTGAAGAGTGTACAAAATACACAGTGAGTACATAATTAAATATTTATTAAAAATTTACATAAAAATCAAAATTAATAATGAATTAGGTGAAAATTTTAGAATTTATCAAAACAATCCATGTTTCAAAAAAAAATTTAAATCTCTATTTTAGAACAATAATTTTTTAAGAGAAATTTGACCATATATGCCACATATTTATATATTACAGAAGAAAAAATCTAACGCCATGTTCTCAATAATATTTGGCTGTTTATTTGTGGTGTCCTAAATGAAAAGGCAATCAAGATTTAGTCATTCTCTACAATTTTTTTTTTACAAAAACTAAGCTTAAATGGAAATCTAAATTAGTTTTTCAACCTTAGAGACTAATCTAAATCCTAAATTAAGTAGTATTTTGTCTAAGGTTTCGTTTGGGACGGCTTTCTTATTGCTTAAAGAATAAGCAGTAAGAAAGCATTCCTGAACGAAGCCTAAGTAGTCTTTGCCTAATTGAGAAAGTACTATGAATGTTTCTGAAACAAAGTAGTAGCCGTAGACTTAGGCTTCGTTTCAGACAGTTTTTTTTATTCTTTCTAAAATAGCTTATTAGCATACAAATTTTTAATTCAAAAAATTTTTGTACAAAAAAAGAGTTCTAGAAAACACTGAAAAGCTTGGGCAACTTTCTTAATGCTTTCTTTTTCAGATCACAAGAATAACTTTCTATATTAACTTTTTAAAAAGTTATTTTCTCTCCAATAATTTTACAACCATCTTTATAATAAGTTGTAACTGTGCCAAACATATTCTTAGGCTTCGCTTGAGACAGCTTTCTTTCTACTTCGTTCTTTAAATTACAATTATAATTTTTATTTGGTCACAATTTTTTCATTGCTTTCAAAAAAAAATTATATTATGATGTTACTTTTTACATTCTACCCAAAAAAAATTATATTATCTTTACAAAAAGCTGACATTTCAAATTGGAAAACTCTTTCAAAAAGAGAGTTTTAAATTCTTGCCAATTAAAAAAGGTATCTTGAATAGAAAATTATTAAAAGGTCGCTGTTTGTGTTAGTCGATTCAAGAAATTTCACAGCCCAATGTTTCAAAAATCAAAATGTTTGCTGCATTCTACGAATTGAGCTGTCAGCTGGGCGCACGTTACTTCCAATGGCTGCAACCAAGCAGATTTCAGTTTCGTTTGGAATAGCTTTTTTATTACTCTTAAAATAATTTTTTAGTACAAAAGTTTTTTAATTTTTGTATTAAAAAGCTGCTTTAAGAAGCAGTAAGAAAGCCGCCGTCCCAAACGAAATCTTCATCTATCAGCAGGAATCTAAAAGTACAATTTGCTTGCATGATGAAGCATCAGATGCCATCTATAAATAGGATCCACACACACACAGACACCTGAGCTCTACGTCTGGTTTCAAGCTATCAATAGCCATGGCATCCTCCACCCATCTCTTCCTCTCCCTCTTCCTCCTCCTCGTCATCTCAGTCGCCGGAGACGACAAAACGGAGATCCCAAACGCCATAAATAACTACGACATACAGGACCTCGGCCGCACGGCTGTGATCGAATACGATGAATGGACCAACCGAAATACCGGTTGGCTTCACTTCTGTCGAGTTCTCTACGCCGCTCAAAAGAACGACGATCACTCTGTATATTACCTCACGCTTTTGGCATATGAGGAGACCAAAAACGGCCGTGATACGGACGGCTATGATGCAGTGTTACATGTCTACTCTAATTCACGCGTGCCACCAGATTTGGCTACCTTTGTTCCTTATCCTGATCAAGGAGGGTTCATGGGAGATGGAAAACAAACTCCTCTGAAGAACCCAGTCGACTGTTTTGTATTGGACAGTTCACCTTGATCACGTGGTTGGGAGCTTTGACTATCAATTAAGAGACCTTGAGTTCGAGAGAGATTATTACGTCCAGAGTCTGGACGTAAGATGCGTCCAAATTTTACGAGGGTACTTAGCAAATACATAGTTATTTAATGTGTACCCTCACAAATCCGGACGGTCCGGATTCCGCTCGTAATAATCTCTCGGGGTTTGAATGCTTCATATGTTTTCTATGCATGAATTTGTCTTAATTGACTTAAAAGTACAATATATATATATTGTATTAATTAATAACTTAATGTGTGGAAGTATTTGTGCATGTATGTGTGACGGTTTGTATTAATTTACAGCTTTGCTTGTGAGTTCACGAGTGAATAAAATATGAAGTGTATGAGGAAAAATTTAAAAATTATTAAATTTATTTTAAAACTAGTGTAATAAAAACACTAATTTTAAAATAATTTTAATTTATTTTTATAAAAATCTTATAAAAAATATTTTGATATAATGATGTTTGTATTTAATAATGTACATAAAATGAATGAATTTATTGATGAAATATATCATTAAAATTACTTTTTTAAATGATTTTTAGATATAGAAAGAGATTAGAGACTGTAACAGAAAATTGCTCAAAAGAAGTTGATGCATTCAAAGGGAGTACTTTGAAAGGTACCTTTGAAGCTGAATCAAATTGCAACGACGTTTACGAACAATTATTAGGTCCGGTGATCGGACGTAGCTCTACATTCGGTCAACACTGAGATCGCGCCACGTGCTCTTACTCTTTACCGCGCGGCCCGACGACTTGACCCGGACCGGAACCCGGGAATACTATGTTCGCGTATTGCTAGGTATTACTCAGTATTGCTAGATATTGCTTGGCAATAACGAGAAATACCGCTCTGTGAAGACCAATACCGAGCAATACTGAGTTTCTCAAGAAAAACTGAAAAACTCAGTATTGCTCGGTATTTATCTTCACATAATGGGATTTCTCGTTATTGCCGAGCAAAATCGACAAATACTTAGCAATACCGAGTTGTCATGGATTTAAAAAATGCACGCGCAACATACCCACTATTCGTCGAGTCGGGTCCGCCGTTTTGTGCCTGCTACGTGGTGTGATCTCAATGTCGGCCGAACGTAGCTCTACCCCATTCACCGGACCAAATATTGAAACAATAAGAAAATAAAAATCTCCTATTACGTACAAAGCATATATTTTAAATGAAAAAAAAGGGTGAGGTACCTTAACCCAATTTTGAATAAAAATAGTTAATTTTAAAATAATTCTAATATAGAAAAAATAATTAATTTTTTATTGCACTGATTTTAAAATAAATAT